GCTCAATCTCACGCTCGTTCTTCTGAATGCACTTTTTCAGCTTCTTAATCTGATTCTCGTACTTCTTCTATTTTCCTTCTTTTATTTTGTCATCTGCGCTTGATTGTTGCGAAAGAATATTCTTTGTTTCTGCTGAATGCTCCGTTTTAGTCACCGACGCCTGGTGCTCAAGACGCGCAACAGCAATCTCCTAAAATTCTTGAAATGGCTTCAGAAAGCTGTATTCATGCTTTGCTTTTTTTTTTTTGTCTTTATCTCAAAATTTACAGTTTACCTGACTCTTCTTTTGACACTTTCTGTTCTCCTGTTGGATGTGTGTTCTTGATGAAGCTTAATCTCTCACTGCCCTTGTTGTTCTTCTTAACACAAGCTGAGACGGGAATTCTTGATAGCGGAAACTTGTCCGCACAATCCCTCGGCAAGTGTGTCGTTTTCTTTATTTCGTCCTCAGAAGAAGGACTATTGTCTCTGTCGCTGCTCTACTGTCATTCTGACAGGTATTTTTGATTTCTGCTGCACTGGAGGCAGCTCAAGTCTCTTGTTTCCTCTGTTCGCTCGGCCAGCAGGCCACGAAGCCATCGCTGTTTTCACTACGATTTTCCGACTGCGCTAAACAAAGATTTTTTGAACCAGATCACTTTCTTGTTTTCTTTTGCTTTTGTTTTACGTCCATGTCTGTTTCAGAAATTTTCCAAAATATCTTCGAAATTCTCGAACCTTTACTGCTCTTAACTTTGATACAACTGATCGCACCAAATGCTGCAGCGAAATGATTTTTTTCCTTGAACGTTCATGGAAACATATTTCGTCACAAACAGTACTCTGAGGACGTTTCTTGTTCGAATGCTCGCGCAAAATAGGTTCTCAGGTAAATTAGGCATGGGTCCCCAGTGGTTCAGTCAAAAATTGATGGGGAGTGGTCTATCTCTGAGCACTTAAGCAGTAGAAAGATGAGACTTTGCCAGATACATACAAGTGTGGTTTCTGTCAATTAGGTAATTTTCAATTATGCAAATGTTGTCACGTGACTCCACACGGCCAGAAAACAATAAAAAGTCTTTAAACAAAAATGGGAACACTTTTTGTTGTGAGTTATTAAACCGGACTGGTTTAGGACAATGTGTAACGCAAGCATCTACAAAACTATGCTTGGCCTTTTTTGAATTTTTTACTGTTTTAGAAAATAAACGGCGTTTTCAACTAGACCCAGTCCCCCAAAGCAATTGTATCCCATCTTTATGCCTTCGATTTTAAATATCTAAAAAAGGCCAAGCACAGAAGTGATATATTAAAAGGCCTTAACGTTATGCAACCGGTAAAATAAGTGAGGACACACGAAAAAGTGTTGCCGTTTCAAGAACAAGCTTTTTCAGCCGATGGAGGTCACGTGACCTAATTTGCATAATTTGACACAAACTAAAAGTGTTGGTAGCTGGCAAAGTTTTATGTCTCTTCATCTAAAGCTGTTAGATATAGACCACCCCCTCACTTTTGAAGAGAGCAAATTAAGGCAAATTGAGGCCCATGCCTTAATTTACCTGAGTTTACTGTGAGTTAATTTCATCAAACATTTTTTGCATATCAAAGCTAGCCCTTCTGTCAACAATGTTTTTGTTTTATGAAATAAAGCATAAACTTACAAAAGTTCTTTTAAACAAAACAAAACACAAAGGGTCACAAAGCTTAGATTTCACCTCCAGTTTAAGCTTGAACTCTTTGCCTGTATAAAGGAAAGAAGGGAATAATGCTTTTTTTTAAAGGGACTGGTTCACGATAATGCGCATGTGTGAGTTCTGACAGTAGCTGATTGTTTTTCAACCAATCGGAAGCGAGTTAAATGCACGCAAGTAAATTTACAAAATTCAAATTAATTGTTCGCGACGCGAGAGTATTTCCGGGCATTTGGTTTGATTTTATTTATCCCCATAATTCAAGTTTATTCTTTGCTACTCCTCAGATATATGTTGCAGCCGATAAGAATAAAATTTACAGCCCTGTCCTGCTTTGAAACAAACATTTACCAACGTGTATTTTTACGAGGTCGTATCCACGCTAACTAAGCGGTCACCGATCGGCAAACAAAATTTGTAAACAAACATCTTATTACTGTTCTCTCAGTTCGCCTTATATAAACCCAGAAATACCTACAAATAGCGCTTGACCGGTGACAAAAGCACACAACATATGAGTATAAAGATTATCCTTAACTGAGCATAAATTTCAATTGCTTATCAGCAAATGAACAAATTCATTCGCGTTGCATCGGGTCAGTGTTCCGCAAAACAAATGTTATCGAGTAGCACACATAAAGAAACTAGATTATAAACAGAATATTCAGGCAATAATTTATTTTAAAAACATCAATTCTTAAACATATACGATGGTAAAGCAAAGATACAAGGAACATTTCAAGTGTACCAGATCGGTGAAGATCGCGCGGCCTGTTGCGGTATAACTACAGGTCGGAGTCAAAAATCAAATCAAAGTTGAACGAAATCATGCCTTTAACCACTTTCCAAGTGTCCTGTATTCTTTTCGTAAGCCACACACTACTCCTAGAACCATACCAGATCGATAGGCTAAACTTCTCTATCTCCAAAGACTCTTGAGAACGTCCTGTTGCCGGACGGCCACGATGCTCTTTTGAACCTCATGATCAAAACATTATTTTTTGCGTCTTCTTAAAACGTAACCAGTCAAACGACACAACCACACGTTAATCACCACTACCGAAGTATAACTAGACCAGCCAAAGCGACGGATGTCCGAATAAAACGAAGGATTTTCAAAGATTGTACCGGTAATGGCGATTTCGAATTTAGTGTTGACCCAACAAATTTATTCTGAAGAGAAAAACGGCGCGCATGCGCATTATCGTGAACCAGTCCCTTTAAATACAGGGAAAAGCTTCCTAAATGACCAAAGCAATTGAAGAACTTTACTTGTTTCACTGGTGTTGTTTAGGACCTTTCAATGCCGGCTTGGACCAACACGGCCTTTCCAAAAGTCCAAACAAACACGAAAACATGCTCCCAGTTCAAGGATTTGATGTTCTCGTTTACAAACATTTCCTTGACACAGTGAGCGTATCAAGCCAAGCAAATTATAGTCTACTCTAGTCTAATTTACCATTGACTCCTGGCATTCACAAAGAATAACGAGCAAGATTCTTGCTGCTGTTCCCCATTTGAACGAAGTCGACAAAACTTCAGGCTTGTACGTGCAATTTTCCCTGTTTTCCTTTGATTGTCTACATCGACATACTGGAATTCAATAATCAGCAGTTGTTTCTAAAGGACTGACGAGCCATTTTTTCCTCGCCTCTTTTTTAGCACGTAGCGTAGCGGATTTTTTTTCAAATCGTTTCTAACTTTCAACCCACCAAAAGTTGAAATTTGAAAGCTCGGCCAATCGGAAGCGAACGCACTTCGCTTCTTGATGGATAGTTTTTTGACAAACACTCAGATTTGATGGACTGGCTTGCGGAGCTGGGATTTGAACTGTCCATGTTTCGGGTACAGAAACTACTTTAATACCAAAGACACAATATTCATCAAATCATACTTCGATTTGCCTCGGGAAATGTTTATTCCAAACTTACAGGCTCAACAAGGTAGGAATTAAGCTTATATTTTCATATCATTGGTGACAGTGAAAGTCGATTTCACTTGACGCGTAGTCATAAATTGAAAGCAAAGTTAGGTCATAATTTTCAAGGTCTTGTCACGTACATGCTGATTCACGTTTACGCAAAACGGCAGACGTGAATTTGTACCACGTGACCAAGTTTTCCCCTTATTTTCCGTTTACTCTTTATTGCTTCTACACAAAAATAAGTAGTCTTATGTCAGTTTTAACCAGAAAGCTCCTCCCCTCTAGCCAAGAGAAAGTGGGATTGAATTGGCCTTTGTAATCTAACAATTTGCTTTTTTGTCTTTCAGAATTATGTGAATATAAGAGAATATCTGCAAGCTCATAAAAATGAACCAGCGTAAAACACCAATGGTCTGCGAGTCATGCAGGAACAAATCACCCGCGATATAATCAAAGAGGAGCGAGGAAGGGACCGCAGGAGTCCTCATTTCCACTGTTAAAGGAAGAGGAAGAGATAGTGGTGTATTTGTTAACACATTATAATTAGGATGTGTTGGTCTGGATTCAAGACTTTTCACTCCGTTGTATCCTTACTCAAAAAACCTCCCTCCACACTAACTCTTCCTTTCCCGGCGTATAAATGGCATAAATGGGCACCGGTATTTCTACATACAACAGTTGTGTCGGGGGTGCAGTCTTGCAGTCTTAGCGGAGATTGCAGTACTCCTAAGCGCCTCGCCTAACTGAAAAAAAGATGATCTCTGGCCGGTTGGGCCTGATTGACGCGAAGAGCGCCTTGTAACTTTTTTTACGCGAGAAGCAGAAAAATCTACAGCTGTTCATTCGCCTGGTACGCACCTATTGACACATCACAAGAAGGTATATGGCTTTGTTACCTGGCCTAAGGAGACTAGAGTGCTATGAAACTCCTCTTCAAGTTCAGATTGTTTGGGATGAGTTTAACCAAGCCTCGTCTCAATAAAATAAAAAATGTGAAAGATTGATTATAACCACTGCCAAAATGAAGTTTAAAGTTTAACGTTTATTTAACTAGCCTAGTAATTGCTCACTGTTCAAACAATGGAATCATTTACAAACATTAGCTAAAGTAACAAAAAGCCCTAGTATTCTGCACGTAAGGACGAAGTAAATAAGTTGTATAAAATAAAGAAATATCATGGTAATGAACAGAAGTGGTCATAAATATTTGTCATGCAATTATCGCGGATCTGGGTTCGAATCTGGGTCAGGTTTAATGCGTTGCTGACATTCTTCTTTTCCAGCAGTTCTCTCCTTTAGTACCGTTGGCCTCCCATAAGACTTAAAATTCCCAGAAAGGAATTTATTATTATAGCAAAAGCAGAATGATGTATAGAGTAAATTCTCCGATACAAAATTAACAGTGATCAGACAAAGTTTGTCTGTGGTTGCAAGGCAGCTTGTTCCTCCTGGGTATTATAGCGCACTGTAGGAGAATTCTGTGACGTGTTCATTTTCTTTTTCAAAACACAAAAATACCATGTAGCACCAGCACCTATAAACCCTATAACAAATAGAATAATAAAAACAATTGCAATGATCACCCAGTCCTTGTTGTTGTTTGTGTTGTTGTTGCTGCTGCTGTTGCTGGAGTCTTTTCCTGAAGTAACAAAAAGTTTCGATTTAATAGGCAACACAGTACACTACTTACATTTCAAGCCTTCCTGAGCGGCCTGCATTTAAAGCAAACTTGATAAAATGCATGGAGAGACCGTTGCAAAAGCAACCGTATGGCATTTACAAAAAAAACATACATGCTCGTTACGTTACAAGACTTGAATTTATGACTACTTAAAAGACACTTTTCCACGTTTTTTCAGGCTTTTTAGTATCATGGTTTAATAGTTTCTAGATTTGAGCATAAGTAATTGTTTAAAAATCTATATGTGTGAGGCATGCATTATGTCCCCAGTAAGGGCCACTGGCCCAAAATAGGAAAGACTTGATACGTTAAAACAAGCGAATGTGTACATGCGAATGTCTTTTTTTTGCCCATATGAGGAAGAGAGTCAATACCTCACTGCGCTTTTTAATGATATTTTCAATTTCAATTAAATTGAAGAAATCTGTTCAACAAACCGCTTGTTTTTTTTAAGTTTTTCGTTACCTCAATAAAATGATTTGTACCTTTTATAATTACGTCCACCTTATATGTGATCACTCCAGCTGAATTAGAAGCCTCGCATTCGTATTTTCCTTCATCATCTTTACTGGCATTTTCGCGTTTGAAGTATGTCTCGTCTGTTTTGTTCTGAATGAGTGGACCGTCTTTTCGCCACGTTACAACAGGTTTGGGAACTCCCTCTGCTTTACATTTTAAGAAAAGGACGCTTCCTAGCTGCACATGGACTCGACTCGGCTCCCGTTCAGTAAATTTTGGCGACACTGAAAAGTAAGTTTGCAAATAAAAAAATAGAGTTATTGTGGAAAGTGCGTAGTTACGAACTTTCATTGACTTTTATTTTCGGCAATGTCAAATGTCCCACTTAAGAAAAAATTTTGGCAATAATTCTTGACATGATACAGTTCCCGACATTGTAGAGGGGACCTTGTACTGTGGCAATTTGTAACAATCATTGCACTTTGTAATACTTGTCGCAATTTGTAATAAATCCATCGCACTTTGTAATACCTCTCGTCATTCTTAATAAATTAAAAGCTGTCGCAGTTTGTAATAACTGTCCATCGAAGTTTGTACTAAACTAAGCTCCGCAATTTGTAATAAACGTTTTGAGATTTATTCATCTTACTTGGTCGACAATAATATCTTCTTCTTCGCAATGGGCGCTGTATTAGAGATAAACGATCGTGGATGATTATGGACAAACTCAAGATTAGACGATAAAACTGAATTTATGATAGTCGGTACTAGACAGCAGTTGGAGAAAGTCAATATTGATCACCTTACGATCTGTGATACAAGAGTAAGCCCTGTCACGGGTGCGAAAAATCTCGGAACCGCTTGGTTTGACGGTAATCTAAATCTGAAGGAACGTATTAAAATATGTTCCTTCAAAGTTTTACAGGTCTTATTTTAATAAGACCTGTAAAACTGCCTATTTCAATCTCCATAACATTCGGCGGATTCGGAAATATCTATGTAATGATTCCGCTCAAACACTAGTTCGTGCACTTGTTATGGGACGAGTTGATTATTGCAATAGCCTTCTCTTCGGTCTACCTGCAGTGCCTTTAGGAAAACTACATCCTCGGAGACCCAGGGGCAGATAGTGGGGGCGAGGGAAAGTCTAAACAGGCGGAAAAATATGGCACAAAAGAAAAGTAAAGAACGGCCAGAAGAGCTCTTCTCGCCGTTTTTTCCTTTTTTTCGTGCCTTATTCTTCCGCCCGTTTAGACTTCCCTCGCCCCCACTATCTGCCCCTGGGTCTCCGAGGATGGGAAAACTACAACGTGTTCAGAATTCAGCTGCTCGTACAATTTGTAAATGATATCTAGATATGACCACATAATGCCTGTGTTGCGCTCTCTACACTGGTTACTTATTGAATATCGCATCAATTTCAAAGTACTCATTATTACATTTAACGCAATTCATGTCGCTACACTGAGTATTTAAGTAATTTGATAAGTGTTAGGAAGATGTGTAGATAGAGTCTGCGATCGAACGCTGGCATACTTCTCCAACTACCAAGTGCCAGATTGAAGAAAACTTTGGGGGATAGATCTTTTGCATCCGCTGCTCCTAGACTTTGGTATAAGTTGCCTTTGAAAATCAGAAATGCGGGCACTTAAGCCAATTTTAAATCTAAGTTAAAGACGTATTTATTTCGCTCAGCGTAGTTAACCGGTTAAAAAAGACGTGCTGTGAGTGTTTTGAAAAGCTTAAAAAACGTCCCCGGAGTATTCCATTTCAAAAGAAATTTTCAAACCTGTTCATTGAAAAATGTCAAACAAAAGCAGCCACAGTCATGCAAATACACTGTGCAACTGAAGTACACATTCCACATGCCTTTGCAATACGGCTATCCAAATGAAAGAAATTTCTACTGTTAAAAGTCATATAAGAGGAGAAATTTGCTGGCGGAGAGGGTCGCTAATTCTATCTACAACGCGAAATGATGGGTATTTGATAAGTTTCACGGAATATATGGGCCATTTGCACGATGACGTCATTTTACTACTACAACCAGAATCCTTTTCGTTTTTCTTTTCATATTTAAATTTGGTAATCCCAGCGAGGTTTAACTAACAAAAGCCCTAATTTGCACTAGAAAGCAATATCTGAAGGATTCTGGTTGTAGTAGTAAAATGACGTCATCGTGCAAATGGCTTATGGCAAACTGGTAAGAATTGTTTGTGTCTCATTTCGCCAACTCATTCTTGGCTCGGTAACAATAGACTTTTTTAGGTTGTAAGTTTTTTTCCCATTTCAGACCACGTGACGGTACCCCACAGAACTGTTTTTTTTTCAAATTTTGTCTTGTGCACGTGAAGCCACGTGCCTATGTATGCATAATTAATGAAAAGACAAAAGGCAAATTCCCTGGAGAACATCTCGTGGTCTGAATCTTGAAATGGATTAGTTTGGTGTTTTCTCGGTTAAAAAAAATTCATATTTCATAAAATAAGTTCCGATTGGCTGTCGATTTTATGTTCATTTTGGGATGAAGATTTTTTCTGTCTTCGATAGTTATTTTGTTAGATTTTTGCCTCCTCATTTAGTTGCAAATAAGGAGGATCGTACTGTAGAAAATTTCATATCTAGTAGTTTTCTTTAGATCAAATGTTCATTTAATAAGAATTCCACTGTTCAGTCATTCAACCCCATATTTCCTTTGAGACTGAAATCCTCCCCGCGCTTTTCAGTTTGTTCAGTTTTAACGGGTGTAAAGGTCTTACCACGTGAACAAATTCGTGAAGTCTATTGGACAATATGCCTTCTGAATATTAATGAGATTTGAAATAATAGCGGAGCTCTCGCGCGCGCTGCAGAGCACCATGGGTAAGAAAATTTGGTAAATCTATGCATCCAAGAAATTTTGATTCTGAGAAAGTCGTCCGTACGTACTTCTACCCCTTCATGTAAGCCGGGATGAAATTTTGCATTTCAAGCATCCGCGCGTTTCGGCGGTAAATCGCGTAGCTTCCCAGCCTTTTAGAGATAAAAACAACAACAAAAGCCTATTCTTTCTTTCGACTTAATTTCAATGTCTACATTGACGTGGATAACAGACGAAGAGCTAGAACGAGAGATAAACACCAAAGGAGACTTATTTCGTTGGAAAAAAACTTAAAATTTTATAGCGGTGGTGAGAAAAAGGGGAAATTCTAGCTGCCAGCAAGGTGAAAATGAGCGGCAGCGAAAACAAATGAACAGGAACACATACAGCATTACCTCCATAAAATGTGTAATTAGGAAGTTTCTGGAAGTTTAACATTGTAGTCGTGCAAAACAACGGCAAAGAAATGTACAAAAAAAGCGTGTAAAGTTGTTTTTTGCTAATTAGAAAAAAAGTGTGCTACACGTGCAAAGTTTTTTGTTTTGGTTAATTAGACATACTAATTTTTTGGCTGTTTTCGTTGCTTTCGCCCCTTGGCGTTACACGATTTTGCATTTTGTTTAGTAAACTATAGATGTTAACGAGAGCTTTGCGCTTAGCTCTGGCTAAATCTATGTATTTAGAATAAGAAGAAAACCTCTACTAGCTGTTGGATTTTCTAAGTTATTTTGCTTAGTTTTTCGGAGCATGTGGACACTCGATAGTGCTCTTTAAATAGATTTCTGCTAGTCTCTCAGAAAATAGCAAAAATGAACGCACACACGATCATTTTATGAATGCTCCGACAGTGAAAACGGAAATAAAAAAACAAACAAGGCGAAAGGTCATGATAACTTTTATGTCTTGACGGAGATCGAAGTCATAAAAGCAAGTCTCATAGCAAGAGAATGAGAGTTTCTTATAAAGTGTGATGGACAGTTATTAAAAATTGCGACAGCTTTTTTAGCGGGGAGTACGCGGGCGCGAAGTGCGGGCAGCGGAGCCCCACAGCTAAAAGAAAATAGACAACTATCATCGCCACAAAATCAGCGTACGCCCGACCGACCGCCCGTACAGACTCTGAAAGTAGGGGTAAGAAACTCAGTTGGATAGGGGAGGGAGTCCCAGACATGTACGTTGCGTTTCGTTTTGGCGCAAAATTAGGCTGATTTAGCAACAGAACAGGAACGTCAGTTGACGACGGCGCGCGCAAATCAAACAACTAGCTTGTCCAATGGCAGAGCAGCAAATTGAGCACCGGAAGTCGTGTTTAGTCTCTTCCGGGCGCTTTCCCGTCGTCAACTGACGTTCCTGTCCTGTTGCTAAATCAGCCTAAGGGCAATCAACGGAGTTGCTCGAATAAAAATCTACATTGAAGTTTCTTGTGTTCGAATCTTCGGAAATAAACTTCTAAACCTTCGCTTTTTGCTTAGTCACGCTTTTAGTCACACTCCAGGAAAAACATAACCTCCCCCCAACCCGCTTGGTCAAAATTTTGACAGGTGAATTCATGAATGAAAACTTATGCGACATCTAGAAATCTGTTTGCCGACAACTGAAGCCTATTTTTCATTTCAATTAAATTTAAAATTATCGTGTTCTTGTACTGCCGCCACCAAATGGAATACAACTGCTGTCGAGTTTCTTTTTCTGTTTTTCAAAACTGAAGCGTTTATTTGGTTTTTCGTCGAGGAGAGTGTCACAAGACTAGGGTTTCATCGATGGCTGCGTTTGTGATAGTTCATGCAGGCTCTTACATCCGACTACAGGAAAATCTTTTATCATTTTAAAGTTTTAGTCTTCGTGTTCTTCCACTGCCGCCACAAAATGAAATACAGCTGTTATCATGATTCTTCTGTTATTCGAAGCTGGTTTGTTTATTTGGTTTTGGGGTTTAGGAAACCTTTGCCATCGGATTCAACGAAAGTGAAAGTCTGACGTAAATAGGACGATCCTATTTACGACGCGCCAGACAAGCAAACATTTGATGCCGGCAATGTTAACCATCTCTGATCAGATTTAAAGACTCAAGAAACACAGGTAAATAACCGGGGTAAATAACAACCGATTATTTTATTAGCTAATACAGCCTGTCTAGGTGGAATCCCTTTAAGAAGGAAAGATTGACCAAAAACAAACTTTGAACTGGACGTAGCCAACTAGTTTAGTGAATGACAACCAACCTTGATAAAACATTAAATTTGATGGGCTATTAGCTTCTCAAAGGGGTGTGGTGGGAAGAGGGGGGGGGGGGGAGGGGGGGGGGGGACCAGTGATGCACAGGTGAAGGTAAGAATTCTTTTCCAAGACAATTACTGCGATCGAATTTGATTTAAAATTTTCTCTTTTTGTTTTAAAATCAGTTAAGTATAAGTTTCTGAAGTTATTCGTTCCATTTTTTTGGTTTTAAGTAATTAAAAGCATATAAATGGACCCTTCACTTCTAGCCTTGGCAAAATCTATATAATATTATTGTTTCAAAGTGCGGCACGTTTTATTAGAAATTGGGACAGGTATAAAAAGGTGCGATGATTATTACAAATTGCGACGATACAGACCTTCTTTGCCCTTTTTTTGGATATCGCTTTTTCTGGGAAGACGAAGAATGATGCAACAAGAAAATGATAGTCAAAGAAAACGAGAAGGACAAATGAAACAGCAAAAAAGACTTGCATCAAGTAAAGCTTAAATAGTCTTTGATCACGTACCTGAGGTGTCAACATGAAGAGTGACGAAGTACGATTCAGGAGACGTGAAGTTTACTCTGTATACCTTGCATTTGTAGATGTTACTATCACTGCCTTCCATATTATCTATTTTCAGGGTACCATTCAGAGTAATATTTAGTCTGTTCGAGTAAGGGCCTAGAAAATAAAGTTATCATACAATTTAATACGTGTATTTGAAATTCCATACCGTTCTTCAGTCTGCTTAACAACCAACCTAAAACACTGACTTATTAAACGCGTTTCCAAAATTTTGTTTAAATCTACTTGAAGAATTCTTGGACATTAAAACAAAGCTGAGGGCGCCTACCAAAAGTTAGAACCGGCCGGTCGTTCGGGTATTTTTAAAAAAGAAATCGACTTTCAGTTTTGACGATTTTTGATGGAAAACCATCACTGCCGTGCATAAAATTTAGGAGGGAAAGGCTCGTCTGCAAAGCTGGAGAGTTCTGATTGACACTTAAATTCTTTTTGCAACTAGACTGGTCTGACCGGCTAGTTGTGGCTCACGGTAAGGGCCTTAAGGTAGGACTTCTGATTGAAAGTAATCCCGTTTCATCGATGTGAAAAGCTACCTGTCTTGATGGTTTGGGTCGCTCCCCGACTTTCTAGACCTGCTAACCATGTCCATTGAGTGTCCTCGGAAGAGCAATTTTTCGTGGCACATACACGCCAAGTAAGGGCTTTAAATTTACCGTCCAGTTGATAAACCTTCCATAATTTCGGGCAGGAAAGGTAAATGTTTTGACCAACTCGCGCTTCAACCGTCGGCTGCTGAGGGACGTCTCTGTTCTTAGTTTGTCGCTCGTAGTTTGTGTTGGTGTCTGGTTTTTGGTAGGAAAAAAAGTGGAATCTAATGATGATAATAATAAGCTTGAGAATGATGATGATAAAAAGTAATGGTAATAATAATGATAATAACAGTATGCTAATTCTTTCTAAATAAATATATGAATTTCATATTTTTTAACCAACTGGAAAACTTCGACCCTATATAGACTTCAGACAAGTTAGTAAAATCTGAGTAAAATCTCTATATCTTATTTGTAAATCGCAATGTCCATAAACCTGTACACTTACAGAAATTTTACGAACTCTATAAAATGTCTGTAGATTTGACCACATTTTACGTGACTAAATCCCATAAAATGTCCGTAAAATCCCAGTGTTTTCTCTGTACAATTCAATCGAAATTTAAAGAGATTTTAAGGTGCCCCCCTAGAGTATTTAACAATTATTCCTCGAGCCCGAATGGGCTCTGAGTCAATAGCCCATGAGGCCGAAGGCCGAATGGGCAATTGAATCAGAGGCCATAAGGGCGAGAGGAATAATTGTTTCAGTAAAATCCAACTAGCTGGTCAAAAATATCGAGAATAGAAAAAAATTTACCTACTTAAAGCTAGACTTTAATCCTTTTTTGCCACCAAAAAGCCGGCGATTTTCGCTACTAGTGGTCTATAACATATAGCCTAGTAGTAGCTCAATCAATCAAAACGCAGCATTGATAATAGACCACTAGTTGGATTTTACTAATTCACTATTAGTAAAATCCAACTAGTGGTCCATTATCAATGCTGCGTTCTGATTGGTTGAGACTTCGGCCTCATGGGCTATTGACTCAGAGCCCATTCGGGCTCGAGGAATAATTGTTAATTAGTATATATATGTACAATAAACTTTATAAAATGTCTGCAAAAATGATTTTACAGACAATTTGTTTTCCCTGTGAGAAAGAGGGGAGGATTTGCACTCTTATAAAAATTCTATAAATTTACAATTTACAGACATTTTACTATCTCTATAAAAGGTCCAGTTTTCCCAGTGAATCAATTTTTTAGGCTTTCTTTTCGCAACTGCATAAGTTGTGACTGTAACTGCGATTATCTTCTGTTCATTAATAATTGTTTTTAAAGAAAAAAAGCAGAATCCAATACAAAATCCAACTGTTAGAATTGTGGAGAGTAAGAGAGCAGTGATTTTAACGCCCTTAGTCTCAAACCTGCGATAACTGATAGATAGACCAAGAGCCATAATATTATGGCTCTTGATAGACTAATACAATAAATTCGATGAACAATAATTATTGTAATAATAATAATGATGATGATGATGATAATAAGAATAAGAATGATGATAATAAAAACTGGGTTATGATAATAACATTGGTCATAATAACAGTGACAAAATTATTTCTTCGTTAGTTAGTTTTGACTTCTGCTATGGTTAGATAAACATAACGCTGAAAAAGAAAAAGGTAAACGATAAGTAATAATTTAGGTCCATTTTTTTTTTCTGTTAATGGTAAGGGAAAACCTTACGATATTAGGTAGGTAGACTATTTTGGTAGCAACACCACCTACCTTGCACGTTAATCTTCACTGATGCACCAAGTACCTGTTTAAAGGCACCGAAGAATATGCTACACCCATAATATCCTTCATCGGATTCTTCGACATGTTCTATTTCTACTGTTATCCCTGAAGTATTAGCGGTCGTATTACTCCATTGCCTCCCATGAACTCTTCCACCATACAACGGGGCCTCTTTATTTAGTTTTGGATTAATGATGACACTTCCCCTCTTTGTCAAAGTCAGAAGCGTTAGAGAGATACCTCCTCGTTTCCAGAGCCCAACTGTGACGTGATCGAAGACGGGTTTGTCAGCCTCTCCAACATAAAACTGGCACTGGAAAGAAGCGTTACTGCCTGGTTGAACTGACAGGGGCGGTGACCATACAGTAGTCATTGCAGAGGTTCTTTCAGCTAAATTAATAATGAGCTAAGTTTAGTCTATGTTGCTATTTTGTCCGAGTAGTCTGTCGAGATATCAAAATGGAATTTGAAAAGAAAAATGTGCGGTCCTGGTCATGAAGGGGATGAAACTCGTCAAGTCAGAGGGTATTGTCATCCCGGATGGAAGACTGATTCGAGCGATGAATTATGGTGATGTGGATGCTTATAAATACCTAGGGTTGCTTGAGAGAAATGAAATCAAACCACCGAGATGAAAAGAAGAATTGAGGAGGAATACTTTCGTCGTGTACAAAATATTAAAGTGTAAACTGAACGGAAAGAATATGGTCCAAGCAATCAACTGTGGGGCAGTGGCAGTAGCATGATATGAGGCAAGAATAGTAGAATGGACGAAAGAATAGCTGCCTACAGATTGACGACGCAAATAAATGACTCCACATCATGCTTTGCATCAGCAGGCTGATATTGACAGGCTTTACTTAAAAGAGGTAGAGGATTAACGAGATCAATATTCTTAGCAGGTATGTTGAGAGTTGTAACGGCCCCCTATTTGAGGCAGTTTACAAGGAAGAGGTTCTGAGATGTCATGCTAAAAGTTGTGAAGCCGCATCATTACCCTGAGCGAGAAAGAAAAGAGCGCTTTCAGGAGAAACAACTTCATGGGCAGTTTTGGAGGTACACAGCAGAAGTAAGGGATAAAAAGACGTGGGAGTACCTGAAAAAGGGTAGACCAAAGAAGGAGACAGAGGGCATGATTATGGCAGCACAAGAACAAGCTTTAAGAACTAAAAATATAAAACGGAGAAAGTGCTAAAACAATTAGTTATATTGTATAGGAATGCAAGAAACTTGCTCAAAAGCACTACGCACGACAAGGTGGCGCAGGTAAAGTTCAGTCTATGTGTAATCAGTATGCTATAAGTGATTTTCAGTAAAGGCCAAGGTCTTTACGAATAAGAGGTCCAAAGGTGGAAGGTAATATGCCAAAAAAAAATACTGGGTCGAGCCACCTTAAAAAGTTAGATAACATTCATATGTAGTGGCATTATCTGCTGCTTAAAACCTAATTATAAATGAAAACTCCTTCATGTAGTTACCTACAACTTCAAGTCTGACAAAATCAGACACAGGAATGTAGTTGAATTCCATAATCCATTTGGTCACGCGCACTAATTTGAGAGATTTCGAATGCTGCAAAGGATTTGGTCAAGTTTCCTATCCATTGCACACGGCCAGCAAAGAAAGCTAACTGATCATCTAAGTCTGGATTAGGAATAATCCTCCCACTCTTCGTGAGTGAAATAATGTAAGTGGTCAGGTGGCCATTCTTCCAAAGTCCAAACGTAAGTCCTTTGAAGGCAGGCTGAGATATTAAATCTTCTCTTAGGCCCCATATAAACACAGCACTGGAACCTTGAAACACTCTGATTGGGTCTGAAGAAATCCGAAATATCCAACTTCCCCTTCCTGCGTGAAAAGAAAAAGGGATAAGAAAAAATCCATTGATGCCCATGATGTGTGGTCAAGTTTACAAGTTTTCTTCTCTGAACAACGATTTTTGTGAAAGATTTTTTGGGCAGAAACAAAGAAAGGAAAGAAAACGAAAGTAACGTTACCAAAGACTCATTTCAAAGTCGTCATTGTGATCTAAAACGTTTATTGAAATAATGACAGCAACGAACATTAATCAAAATATTTATGTCGTTTAATCTTGAATCGAACGTTAAGGTGGCTCAATGGGGTTTTTCAGAGACAATACCTCCAAGCAATTTGCGAATTGTAGCCCTTATTTTACTGCCTTACAATATATCAATAATCTTGAAACTCAAAGGTCATGCAAAACGGTCAATCTCAAAAATATCAATTTTTTAAAAAAAATTAAAAACCAGTTATCGAGCGCTTTAAACATTATTCGCTTAGTTGGCAAAGTAGACAAAAACGTCAACAAAACCGCTAACATACTAATCAAATCCTCCATTCTGGCAATCGGCTAGAGCTATCACGATGATCTTTCAGACACGTTTTAAAAAGATTCAAACTACTAGGAGGTAAAATTGCATTTCAAAACCACTTAGTTTTCTTCAGACTACGGTCGAACATCAAACATCAAGATTGTCAAGTTTTTACCGTATTTCTAACAATAAAAACCTCAGCACAAAATATCTCGATAACGTTCTTACAGAGTTCGCTTGAAATTCACGAACATCGGGGCGGCTATTGCAGTAAAAAGTTTCCGTGAACAATTTTGGAAGAACGGTCCCCAGTCTCGAGAAATACGGCTGCAAGTAAAATCGAGTAATGGTGTCATTTCGTTGCTTTGACAACTTCGATGTTATTGCAACCCTATTCATAACAAATTTTCGTCTTTATCTATTACAGCTCTGGTAGTAATTTTTCCAAATCTTTCTTAATGGCATGGTGACGTGCTTTATACCCAGACTTTTAAGGTATTGACCCCTTAAAAACCCTATCAAGTGACCTTAAAAACTAAGCTCTTTGGAGCCGCACATATATCTTATCAGGCTATATATGGGAATACGTCCTCCAGGTACCAACGCATCCGTTAAATTTCCACTCTTTTTATTGATCTCATGAATGTGTGTCTGTCCAGTTATAATTATATTTAATGAAGAAATATTTACTTACGTGTGCGTCTTTGAAGTATGCGTCGTTTCAATTCTTTTTTCACGTAAACAAACCAAATTAGTCAACTGTTAATTCTTGGAAAGAGGGAACGTGGGAGCGTGATATGAATATCAATTGGTTTCACATCATGTAAATCATCATGGATAGCATTGTCCAGACACGATATATTGATTATTTTGAAAAGAACTTGAAGTTGTGATAGGAAATCTTTGATTAAAGTTGTTTTAAAAGAAGGGTTTTAAAGTAAGTTAGAGAAAAAATAAATACTTTTGCATGGGCAGATATTAATAATTCTGAAAGCAACCATTCGGTAGTGTTAGCGATAGTCTCTATCATCAATAGATAACGCGTCTCTATCATCAACGCGTCCGCCGTTTTAAATCATCCTGGGGGAAGGGAATTTGAAATTTTTTTTGGATATTTCAACGGATGAGCAGTTATTGCATTGAAGTTTTTAATATAACGGTCAACCAAATTTATTTAGACGCACTAAAAGGTCTTTCTGTGAACATTATGTGTCCAAATGAAAGAATCGGCAAAAGAATTCATGTAAATTCATTTTAATGTTGTGAACGAAGGTAAATTAACGAGCGAAATTATGGGCTCACGATCATGTTGTACAAAGCTGTCCTTTGTTTCTCTTAGAGTGAGTTGTTGGCTCTGTTATCTTAAAGAAACAAATTAATTTTTGACCAAAGTTTTCTAGTCAAAAGAATTGGTATGAGGATCTAAGGAAAGGAGGGAAATGATGCACACATGTTCTCTACTGCAACTAGCAGGAACCACTGATTTGTCATAACCTTCTATTGGCCGTGAATTTTAAAATGCTACAGATTTAAGTCCGTGGCTATAGGGAAACCGCTGCATTTGAAGACGACGAGTCAGTAAGTAGCCTGTAATCTAAGTACCCCACGGAAAGAACTGTGTTATTATAAACTAAAGTGAAAGATACTACTCTGTTTAAAGTCATAGCTGTGAAAGGTTTATCCTTTGACAACTGAACGTGAGTTGTAAATTCTGTAAACATATCAGTCATCACCTCCACAAAACTAGTCCACACCGAAGCATTACATGAACAAACATCACAAATGCCTACGAACAATCTCGGAGGTCATGACGTTTAATTTGAAGTGTTAAAGAAATACGGGCCAAACCACTAAAGAAGTCTGACTAGTAGACATTCATGGTTTATTCTCAGTTGTAGTAACGGTAACAGAGCTAATCTCTCGGTACACTGTATAACTTATAAACATGGGCTTTTGACTGAGTCATGAACATGTCTTAGGGTGTCAATGAAACGGATACCTCAACCCTTATAATGATGAGACATTGACTTCTGATTTGATTGATTGTTTTCGATCGTTTTTTGTCCAAATGATTTGTTGCATAGCTGATTACCTACCTTGCTGAAGGAGTGATGTGAGCAGTAAGGCTATTATTACTTTCATTTCGTATCCCAGTTGTGTATCCCGGTCGCCGAGTTACGTGTTCAGCGATAAAAAGGAAACAGATAAGGAAGAGATGCACAAAACAATGCGTCAAAATAAAGGTGACAGCACTCGTGACAATACTGGTATCTAGGTGTCGACCGAGTCGCTCCCTTATCTCTTTCTCCGAAAAGAAGTTATCGTCTTTGCGTCATATTGTTCCAAAAAAACAATAAGTGTCACGTGACAAAATTTAATTATTGCGGTGAGTTATACATGCCAACAAGAATTGTGGGATGGCGAAGTCATAACAGCTAAAAGAGTTATCCTACCTATAAGAAAATCGATGTTGATTAAAATCGTCTTTTTGTTCAGAAAAGTGCCTTAAAAAATGCTTCATAGCGCAGCCTCGGAGCCTATTTCCTTATTTGTTAAAGCAGACCAAAATGTCTACAAAACCGCTAACATACTAATCAAATCCTTCATTCTGGCAATCGGCTAGAGCTATCTCCATGATCTTTCAGACACGTTTTAAAAAGATTCAAACTACTTCATGTATGAGGTAAAATTGCATTTCAAAAGCGCTTTGTTTTCTATAAATTACGGTCGAACATCAAGACTGTTTAGTTTTTACCGTATTTCTAGCAATGAAAACCTCACCCCAAAATATCTTGTTAACGCTCTTCCAGATTTAAATTCGCTTAAACATCAAGACCGCTATTGTGGGAAAAAAGTTCCCGTGAACGATTTTGGAAGAGCAGTCCCCAGTTTCGAGAGATACGGCTGCAAGTAAAATAGGTAATGGTGTAATTTCGTAGGTATGACAACTCCGATGTCATTGCAACCCTGATCATAACAAATTTTCATCTTTGTCTGATACAGCTTTAGTGGTAATTTTCTAAATCTTCGTTAATGGTGA